ATGGATGGATGGATGGATGGATGGATGGATGGATGATGGATGGATGGATGATGGATGAATGGATGGATGGATGGATGGATGGATGGATGGATGGATGGATGGATGGATGGATGGATGGATGGATGGATGGATGGATGGATGATGGATGGATGGATGATGGATGATGGATGGACAGGATTCTCCCATGGGTGGGCACGTGTGTGGATGTCCCTGTGTAGGAAAGGCTGGCTGTGCCCATGGATGGAGGGATGAGTGGACAGGTGGTTGGACAGAGCTCCCGGGTGGGTGGGGGAGTGTCCCGTGCGTGGATGGATGGGGAGAGATCCCTGGCTGGGGCGGTGGGTGGTCGACCAGGGGGACAGGAGTGGGTGGGCAACGGGATGTGCCTGGGGGGAACTGAGCAAACGGATGGATGGGGCGTGGGTGGATGGACAGACGGACACTCCTCAGCGTGGCAGTGCCCACGAGGGGCTGCAGCCCCCCCGGCACGAGTGGCCGGGGGCGGGTGGGCAGCGAATGAATGGGGCGAGGCTGTGCCATGGGGGGGGGACGGGCGCTGCCAGCTCTGACAGGGGGGTCTTTGTCCCCATTGTCACCACATCCTCCTCCTCCCTCTCCCCCAGGACCCCACTGCGGGTCCCAGTGCGGCTCCCAGCGGGTGGCACCCAGGGGTGGGGACACCCTGGGGTGGCACCGAGGGTCTGCAGGGCAGCGGGTGACACGGTGGGGGGGGTCCGGAGGCAGCTGGGTGGGAGCAGAGCTGGGGGAGGCGGGGGGTTCTTCCTTCTCCCCTTTCTCCTCCTCCTCCTCCTCCTCCTCCCGGCGTGCTTGGCCGCCTGCCCCACATCTGGCCCCACTTAGGGCTGTCCCCTGCAGCACGGCGGTGGCCGTGCCGGGGGGGCGGGGGTGACAGCGTGGGGGGGCTCGGGGGCCACCTCTGCTCCACACACCCCTGTCCTGCCGCGCTGGGTGGCCCCTGGCTGATGTCCCCAGCATCTCTCGGTGGGGACAGGGGACTGGGACCCCACCCGCGGAGGGTGGATGTGGATTGTGCCCCCTGCCCCCTCCAAAGCCACCCCCGGAATGGGGCTGGGGGCCCTGGGGGTGTTTGGGGGGGGGGGGGTTCGGGGCTGAGGGGGCTGGGTTTGGGCTGAAATTGGGGGGGTGATCATGAGGGGATTTGGGGGGTCTGCTTAAGGACCATAGGTGGGTTTGGGGGTGTGGGTTGGGGACACCTGGCGTGTGGTCATGGAGGGTTTTGGGGGTCTGGCTCAAGACCATGGGTGGGTTTGGGGGATCCTGACTCAGGGTTATGGGTGGGATTTGGGGTCTGAGACTCACCCAGAGGCAGGACGGGGCCCTGCACCCCGCAGTGTGCTGGAGGGAAGTACAGCAGGAGGGTCTCCCACCGGAGGCGGTGCCCCACGGGGGGGTCCCCCCGCGCTGACCCCCCTTTCCTCGGCAGAGGCTCACCCCCCCCTCACCCTGCGGGACCCCGGCCGCCCCAGCGCCGCCCCCCGCCGGCCCCCCCTGCACCCCACGGCCTTCTCAGGTGGGTCCCTCCCCAGACCCGCTGCGGTGGGCACAGAGGGCTGGCTGCCCCCCACCCCAGCGCCTGTGCCCCCCAATTTCCCCCCGCAGGGTGCCTGAACTGCAGCCGTGTCGGGGAGCTGACAGCCCGGCTCGCCACCCTCGAGGCACAGGCGAGTCCCTGTCTGGGGTCCGGCCACCTCCCCCTGCACCCCCCGAGGGGCACACGAGCCCTGGGGGGGTCACCTTGTGTCCCCTGCTGTCACCCACCCCTCTGTGCCCTTGGCAGGTGGCCCGGCTGGCGGTGGCCGAGCTCCCCATGCCAGCAGCACCCAAAGGCGGCAGCCCGGGCAGGGGGCCCGAGGCCGGGCAGCTCTGGGGGTCCCCGGCCGCCCGCGGGAGCCCCGGGGATGACGGTAAGGCAGGGTGACAGTGACAGTGACGGTGACGGTGACAGTGACAGCTGGCAGCACCCACAGGGCAGGGAACGCACCTGGGTGTCAATATTTGGGGCAGCAGGACCCCTCACTTTGGGGGAAAAGCCACCCAGCTGCCACCCGCGGGGACAGGCCAGCCCTGGGGAGGCGGTGGGGACGGGGTGCGGGCGGGGGGCACCCCCGAGGGGCTGTCCCCGGGGTCCCCCCTCAGGGTGCTGCTGTGCCGCAGGGACACCCGGCTGGAGGGGACCCCCCGGCCCCAAGGGCGACGCGGGAGGACCGGGACCCTCGGGAATTCCGGGAGTGAAGGGTCCAGTGGGACCACCAGGTAAGGGGGGGACAGTGTGGGGGGACCCCAGCCTGGTGCCTGGCCCAGCCGAGCCCCCCCTTTCCTGGTGGGCAGATTGGGGGGGGGGGGGGGTCCCTGCAGCAGTTTGGGGGCTCGGAAGGGCTCCAGCCCTGCACGGCCCCAATCTTCACCCTCCTCTTCCTCCCCGCAGGTCCCCCCGGCCCCCCAGGACCACCCGGTCGGGATGGAGCCAGGGGGCTCCCCGGGGAGAAGGGGTCCCCCGGGCCCCCCGGCCCCCCGGGCCCCCCTGCCCCTGTGGGGCCAGCGATTCCCCGACTGGCCGAGCCCCGTAAGGGGGGGTGGGCTGGGGTCCCCTCCCGGTGTGACCCCAAGGACGGGACTGGGCTGGGGGGTCTGAGCCTCACCTGGGCTGGGGGGTGTTGGGAGCTCCTGCTTGTCCCTGGGGTCCCAGGATGAGCTGTGGGGTGCTGGGGACCCCCAGGCCATTGTTGGGGTTCAGAGATGAAGTGTGAGACACTGGGGTCCCCCCCAGCCATCATTGGGGTCCCAGGATGAGATGTGGGGCACTGGGCAGCACTGGGGACCCCCCAGGCCATGATTGGGGTCCCAGGATGAGCTGTGGTACACTGGGCAGCACTGGGGTCCCCCCCAGGCCATCAGTGGGGTCCCAGGGTGAGATGTGGGGCACTGGGCAGCACTGGGGACCCCCCCTGCAATCATTGGGGTCCCAGGATGAACTGTGGGGCAGTGGGCAGCACTGGGGACCCCCAAGGCCATGATTTGGGTCCCAGGATGAGATGTGGGGTACTGGGGACCCTCCGGCCATGATTGGGGTTCAGAGATGAAGTGGGGGGCACTGGGCAGCACTGGGGTCCCCCCCTGCCATCATTGGGGTCCCAGGATGAGATGTGGGGTACTGGGGTCCCCTCTGCCATCGTTGGGGTTCAGAGATGAAGTGGGGGGCACTGGGCACAGCCGGGAACCCCTGACACCACCAGGATTCCAGGCATGAGGTGGGGGGCACCGGGCACTGCAGGGCACCCCCTGCCAACACTGGGGTCCCAGCAATGAGGTGCGGGGTGCTGGGAAGAGCTGGGGACCTCCTGCCATCATTGGGGTGACAGGGACGAGACCCGGGGGGGGCAGGGGAGGGGACTGCGGGCACACAGGGGCCCTGCCCCAAACACCCCCTCCATTCCCCCCAGGGGACCCGGTCCTCTCCAACACCTTCACCGAAGCCACCAGGAGCATCGTGGGTCCCATGGGACCCCCCGGACCTGTGGGGCCAATGGGTGAGGGTGTCCCCCGCTCCTCTGTCACCCCCCGACGCTTTCGGGTGCCCCAGTGCGGGGCTGAGCTGTGTCCCCTGTCCTTGCAGGTCCCCCCGGCCCCCCAGGTCCCGTCGGTCCCCCCGGGCCCCCAGGAGCCGATGTAAGTGCTGGGCTGGGGGGCACGGGCAGGGCTGAGCCCCCGTGTCCCCCCAGGGCTGATGTCCCCACCTTGTCCCGGCACAGGGCAGGGCAGGAGCGCCCGGAGCTGCCGGGCCCCGCGGCGACAAGGGGGACAGGGTGAGTGTCCCCAGCCCCGCTGTGACACCGGCTGGGGGGCTGGCCCTGCTCTGTGTCCCCCGCAGGGTCCCCAGGGCCATCCCTGTGGTGGCCGTGTCCGGGGAGTGGTTTGGGGGCCACCTCTGCTCCAGACACCCCAGTCCTGCTGTGTGGCCCCACGCCGCTGTCCCCAGGGTCCCTCTGCGGGGACAGGCGGGGTGGCACCCGCGGGGGGTGGATGTGGGCAGTGTCCCCAGGATTGTGCCACCCCCCGTCCAAAGCCACCCCCGATCGGGGCTGGGGGCCGTGGGGGTGTCTGGGGTTTGGGGTTCGGGGCTGGGGGGAGATGTGGGGGGCTGGGACTGGGTTTGGGGCTGAGATGGGGGGATTTGGTGAGTGGTCGTGAGGAGATTTTGGGGGTTCAAGACCATGGGTGGGTTTGGGGGTTGGGGGGTAATGGGGGGGGTTGGAGGGTCCGGTGTGGGGTCATGGGAGAGTTGGGGGGTCTGGTGCGGGGTCATGGGAGAGTTGGGGGGTCCGGTGCGGGGTCATGGGAGAGTTGGGGGGTTTGGTGCGGGGTCATGGAGGGGTTGTGGGGTTTGGTGTGGGGTCATGGAGGGGTTGTGGGGTTTGGTGTGGGGTCACGGAGGGGTTGGGGGGTCTGGTGTGGGGTCACGGAGGGGTTGTGGGGTTTGGTGTGGGGTCATGGAGGGGTTGGGGGGGTTTGGTGTGGAGTCACGGAGGGGTTGGGGGGTTTGGTGAGCAGCAGTGGGGGGGTTGGGGGGTCCGGTGCGGGGTCCCAGCCGCGGGCTCTGCCAGCGTCCCCCTCGGGGCGGTGTGGCCGTGCCCCGGAGCTGATGGCTCTGTGCCCCGCAGGGTCCCCAGGGCCAGCCGGGCAGCCGCGGGCAGGACGGGGCGCAGGTACGTGCGGGGGTCGGGGTCCCCGCGGGCGCAGCCCCCCGTGCCCCCCCTGCCAGGCCCTCTCCTCTCTGTGTTTCAGGGCGAGCCGGGCCCCCGGGGCGAGCCGGGCACTTGGGTGAGTGGCACTGGGGACACGCAGGGCGTGGGCACGGGAGGACCCCGACACGCGATTGGGACCCCAGTGATGTCCTCAGGGTCCCCACTTGTTTCCACTGCCCCACAGCTTGTCTCTGAGTCCCCAGTGACGTCCTGGGTGTCCCCAGCACCCCAAGGGTGGCTCCGGGGGTCCCTGGCCAATGTCACCCAGTGCCAATGTCACCTGAACTGGGTGCTGGGGCACAGAGCGGGCTCAGACCCCCCCGGGGTTCCACTCTCCTTCCCCTGGTGTCGTGGTGAGTCGGGGGGTCCCCCGGGGGTGGCCTGGGGCCATTTGGGGTGCAGCCCCCGCTGAGCCCGTGCCTCTCTTCCCCAGGGGGAGGGTTTGCACCAGCTCCGCGAGGCGCTGAAGATTTTAGCGGAGAGGGTTTTAATCTTGGAAACAATGATTGGGCTCTACGGTGAGTAGGGGCACGGGGACCCCCGGGGTGACCCCCAGCCCGGCCAGCAGGTCACCGGGTCCCCGTGACCTCACGGTGGCCCTTGGCTCACCGATGTCACGGAGCTGCAGGGAGGGCACCCTCGGCAGCCCCTCCTCGTGCCATGGGGGGACGGGGACAGGTCCAGCCCCTCCAGGGGGTGATCCCATCCCTGCCGGGAGGTCACCAGACCCCCGTGACATCACGGTGGCCCTTGGCCATCATGACATCAACCGTGCACGATGTCATCACCCACATGGTGGCATCATGGCCAGCACTCAAAGGAAGGGCCACCAGGGTCACCCTCACCCCCAGCTGGGCACCCCAGAGCCCCCCCAGGCACTGTCCCCCTCGGGCAGGACACCTGTGACAGTCTCAGTGTTGGGGACAAGTGGGTGGCCCTCTGAGAAGGTTGGGGACATGTCCCCCCACGTTTTGGAGAGCTCAGTGTGCTGGGGGTGGCAGAGGGAGCACCCCCAGCTGGGGACATCAGTGTCCCCCTGGACAGGTTGTGAATATGTCCCCCCAAATGTCGGGGGGCTCAGCGTGCTGGGGGATGGCAGAGGGAGCACCCCCAAGTCAGGGACATCAGTGTCCCCATCAGGGCACTGCCAGGGACATCAAGCCAGCACAAGGGGCCCCCCCCTTGTTGCCATGGATCCGCGGGGATGGGGGAGCCCCCAGCACCCTTCTGAGAGTGGGAAGACCCTCCTAGGAGACCTGGCACCCCCTCCTCGTGCCCCAGCACCCCCATCCCGCTGGGGCTGCACCCCTGCCGTGCCCCCCGCCATGCTGTGCCACCCCTGCCGTGCTGTGTCCCCAGCCCGTGTCCCCAGCCCGCCGCGGGGCCAACGCGCTCTGCTCTGCTCTGCTCTCTCCCTCTCCCCCAGGCCAGTAGCTTCCAAACCCTCCTGCAGCAGCAGGCCCGGCTGGAGGTCCTGGCTAGAAGGGTCACCTTGCTGGAAGCCATCATCTGGCCAGGTAACCACCCCCGCCCCGCCCCGCATCAGCCCGGAGCGCCGCGGCACCCCGGGAGCGGGCATGGAGCACGGGGGGCTGGAGCCACCACAACGGGGCACCGAGAGCTCCGGGGCCACGGGAGAGCTCGGAGACCTGCTTGGACTGAGAGGGGCAGCCATGGAGATCTCTTGGATTTAGCCATGAAACCATGGAGATCTCTTGGATTAAGAGGGGCAACCATGGAGATCCTCCAGGATTGAGAGGGGCAACCATGGAGATCTCATGGATTTAGCCATGAAACCATGGAGATCCTCCAGGATTGAGAGGGGCAGCCATGGAGATCCTCCAGGATTGAGAGGGGCAACCATGGAGATCTCTTGGATTTAGCCATGCAATCATGGAGATCTCTTGGATTAAGAGGGGCAACCATGGAGATCTCTTGGATTGAGAAGGGCAACCATGGAGATCTCTTGGATTGAGAGGTGACCATGGAGAGCTCTTGGATTGAGAGAGGCAACAATGGAGATCCTCTTGGACTGAGAGGTGAACATGGAGATCTGTTTGGATTAAGAGGTGACCATGGAGATCTCTTGGATTGAGAAGGGCAACCATGGAGATTCTCCAGGATTGAGAAGGGCAACCATGGAAATCTCTTGGATTGAGAGAGGCAACCATGGAGATCACTTGGATTTAGCCATGCAACCATGGAGATCCTCTTGGATTGAGAGGTGATCATGGAGATCTCTTGGATTGAGAGGTGATCATGGAGATCTCTTGGATTGAGAGGTGACCATGGAGATCTCTTGGATTTAGCTGTGCAATCATGGAGATCCTCCTGGACTGAGAGGTGACCATGGACATCCTCTTGGATTGAGAGGTGACCATGGAGATCCTCTTGGCTTGAGTGAGGCAACCATGGAGACCTCTTGGATTTAGCCATGCAACCTTGGAGATCTGTTTGGATTGAGAGGTGACCATGGAGATCCTCCTGGATTGAGAAGGGCAGCCATGGAGATCCTCTTGGATTGAGAGAGGCAAACATGGAAATACTCTTGGATTGAGAGGTGACCATGGAGATCCTTGTGGGCCAAAGGAAACTGGAGCCTGCCACGGTTTAAGGGAGACCATGGAGAGACCCTCTCACCCCAAGGGAGCTCATGGAGACCCCTCTTGGACCAAGAGGAACCCTGGAGCTCTTTAGAGTTCCAGGGAGCCCATGGAGAGACTCTCTTACCCCAAGGGAGCCCATGGAGACCCTTGGACTACTAGGAACCCTGGAGCTCTTTAGGGTTCCAGGAGCCCATGGAGAGACTCTCACTCCAAAGGAGCTCATGGAGACTCCTCTTGGACCAAGAGGAACCCTGGAGTTCTTTAGGGTTCCAAGGAGCCCATGGAGAGACTCTCACTCCAAAGGAGACCATGGAGACCCCTCTTGGATCAAGGGGACCCATGGAGGTCCCTCAAGGCCAAGGGAAGCTCCAGAGCCCCTCTGGAACCACGGGAGACCACGGAGCCTCTCTTGAGCCAAGAGGAATCCTGGAGCTCCCCAGGGCTCCAGGAAATCCTGGGAGAAGGGAGACCCTGGAGACCCCCTCAAGCCAAGGGAGGCGCACGGACCCCCCAGGCTCACCGGAGCCCACGGGGACCCCTCAGACCGAAGCGGCTCCCAGCGCTCCCGTTGTCCCAAGGGATCCCCCGGTGCCAACCCCCCCGTGCCAGGGTGCCCCCCACCCTCACCCCCCCGCCCCCTCCCCATTCCAGCTGTGCTTTCCCAGGGCTCCAACCGGGGGTGCCAGGCAGGGGTGCCAGCTGGGGGGTCCTCGGGTGGGTGTCCCCAGGGCTTGGGGACACTCAGAGCCACAGTGGGGCAGTGACCCCCATTTCTGCGGGGCACAACACCCACAGCACAGCCCCCGGCGCCGATTTGGGGGATTACAGAGCTGGGGGGGTGACACCCCACCCCTGACACCCCATTTTTCCTCTCCTCCCACAGAGCCAGAGCCCGGCTCGGGCAGCGGTGTCCCCAGCACAGCCATCCCCGGGGTGCCCCACGGCAAGCGTGGCAGCGGCCACCCCCCCTACCGCATCGTCACCGCCGCCCGCCGCGCCCCCCTGGAGCCGTGACAGGGGCGTCACCCGGGCCACCCCCACCGTGCCACCCTGGAGAGCAGGACGGGCTCAGCCCCGTCCCCCCTCTTGGTGCTACTGGTGGCACGGCACCGTCCCCCCACCACGCTTCGCCCCCATCGCCGCTGCTTGAGCCCCCGGGAGGGCCAGGGCTGTCCCCAAGGCCATTTCTGTCCCCCGGGCAAGGCGCAGCTCCGGGGGGGTGGGCTCTGTCTCATCCCATCTCCCCGGGCACCCCAGCCCAGGGGAGGGGATTGGGGGGCTGGCGGTGGGCACCCCCCGGGCGGGGAGCCCGCCGTGCTGCGCGCTTCGCTGCTTGGGGACCCGCCAGGTCATTAAATGTCCCCAAATCCCTGTCCTGTGGGGTCGCTTGGTGCGCCGGGGGGTGGGATGGGATGGGATCTATGGGATGGGATCCATGGGATAGGATCTATGGGACCCATGAGGTGGGGGGGATGGGATGGGATGGGATGGGATGGGATGGGATGGGATGGGATGGGATGGGACGGGACGGGATGGGATGGGACGGGATAGGACGGGATCCATGGGATGGGATAGGATCTATGGGATGGGATCCATGGGATCCATGGGGTGGGATGGGATCCATGGGATGGGACGGGATGGGATCCTTGGGATGGGATGGGATGGGATGGGATCCATGGGATGGGATCTGTGGGATGGGATCTATGGGATGGGATGGGATTCCTGGGATAAGATGTGACCCATGGGATGGAATGGGATGGGATGGGATGGGATGGGATCCATGGGATGGAATGGGATCCATGGGATGGGATAGGATCTATGGGATGGGATCAATGGGATGGAATGGGATGGGATGGGATATGATCTATGGGATCCATGGGGTGAGACCTATGGGATGGGATGGATTGGGATGGGATGGGATAGGATCTAGGGGATGGGATCAATGGGATCCATGGGGTGGGATGGGATCCATGGGATGGGACGGGATGGGATCCTTGGGATGGGATTGGATGGGATGGGATTGGATGGGATGGGATGGGATCCATGGGATGGAATAGAGTTCAGGGACACCCAGGGGACACATGGCTGTGCCATGGGACACCCACCCACGATGTGACACCAATCCATGCAACGTCAGCCCCGGGACACCCACCTGCATCCCACCACCCATGGGACACCCAGCTGTGCCACCACAGCCCGGGTCACCCCCAGTACACGCAGGACACGCGGTACCCCCTCATGTCCTCATGGGACATGATGACGTCACGCAGCGATGACACGCGGTGACGTCACTCTGCCACGCTCGCCACGTGGGCAGCGTGCAATGCCAACCACAGCACGGGCACCCCAACGAGCACCCGCCCTGCCACTTCTCGGCACCTGGTGAGGTCGCACACAGCCCGTGGCGCCAGCCGCCGGCCGGTGACACCGAGTGACCGACCTCACGGCCAGGAGGCGCCGCCAGGCCCCCCCCGCGGCACGGCGCGTGACGTCACGGCGGCCCCGCCACGCCGCAATGACATCACTACGCCGGCCGTGACGTCACGCCCCCGCCGCGCTCCCCGCTCCGCCTCGCGGCCCGAGCGCCTCTTGCGCGACGGTCCCTAACGGCCGCGGGCCGTACCATCCCTCCGCCCGGCGGGGGGGGGAAGCGCGCAGCGAGGCGGCGGAACCGCAAACCGGAGCGGCGGCCGCTGCCGGCGGGGCCGTCCCGGTTCCCCGCGGACGGCAGCAGCGGCGGGCGGGCGGCGGAGCGGGGCGGGCCGAGCCCCCGGGGCGCGATCTGCCGGCGGCGCCCCCCGGGCGCGGGGTGGTGCGCGCGGCGGGGCCGGGCGGCGCATGCGCGGCGCGGGGCGGGGCCGGGCGGGCAGCGCGGAGGAGGAAGGCGAGAAAATGGCGTCGACGGGTGAGCGGGGCCGGGGCGGGCCGGGCCCGGGGCGGGCGGCGGGGCGGGACGGGACCCCCGGCAGCGCCGCCGCCCCCGCCGCGGAGCGGCCGGAGGGGCGCTGGGACGGCGCCGCCGGCCCGCGGCGCCGCGCCCGGGGGGCCGCTGGGGTCGGGCCGTGCAGGGCCCGTCCCGCCCGTGTCCCAGCGGTCCGCCCGCCCGGGCCGCGCCGGGGCCGCGGGTGTTTCCCCTCAGTGTCCGCTGCGGCTCTTGCGGCCGCTCGGTGCCGCCGGATCGCCGGGGCCCCGCGCTCGCAGCAGCCGAGCCCGAGCGGGGCTCGCTCCGGCCCTGCCGGGCGGCTCTGGCTGCGATGCGGGACGGCGGAGCGCCGCGGGTGGGAAGGGAGCCGGAGCCATCCCGGCGGCAGCGACACCTCCCGCTGCCCCTGCGGGCTCCCAGCCCGGCCCGCGGCACCGCCGGGCACGGAGCATCCTCTGGGATCTCCGCTCCAGCACCTCCCAGCCAGGAATTCCTGCCCAAAGTCCCATCCAGCTCTCCCCTCTGGCAGTGGGAGCCATTCCCTGTGTCCTGTCCCTCCATCCCTTGTCCCCAGTCCCTCTCCAGCTCTCCTGGAGCGCCTTTATGCCCTGGAAGGGGCTTTGAGCTCTCCTTGGAGCCTTCTCCTCTGCCAACTTTTCCCCACAGGGAGATAAGATGTTCCACCATCTCCATGGCTCCACATTTTTCTGAATGAAACGTTTTTCCACGAGGGCTCCAGCTGGATACAAATAGTTGGAGACTGAAACTCTCCAGCTCAGTACACCTTAAAGTACTTTAAATCCCAGCAGGATTTGACTCCCTTTAAAAGAAATGAGGATTTTCCTTTTTTCCAGCAAGGAAAATCTCCCAGGCCATGGAGTGTGAGGGAATATCACCAACAGCACCTTGGGGAGCTTGAAAAAGAAAAGTCAGTAAAGGAACATCTGCCAGTGGAATTGTCAGGATGGGGGTTAAAACCACAGCTGTGTTTTCCCTTAATTCATGGAATTGTTCCTCCTGGGAGCTGCTATTTTCAGCCTCTGGTGTGCTTCTGAGCCTTGTGAAATAAAAGGAAGAAGATTAATTTCCCCCTGGAAATAAAAGCCAGGAGATGGGTTTAACTAAATGAACCATAATATTATTTTTTATTAATGTTCCATGTTCCTCTAAATCCCAGCAAATTAAAAGAGAGGCATCACCACAGGCAAACTGCAAATTCCACACCTGGAATTAAATCCTGCAGAGGGGGAAATGTTGGGTTAGGTGGGACTGGGGGAGGGCTGTGAGGAGAGGGGTTAATTGATACCCCTGCGTGGAGCTCGAGGCCAAAATGGGCTAAAAACAAATTAAATGAGGTTTTGGTGGCTGGAGGGTGAGCAGCGAAAAAAGTGGAGTGGTAGGGAAACGGAAGCTGGATGAGGGGGACCAGGCATTAATTAACACTCAGGATTTAGCAGAACCACATGTAAAGTGAATGAAAAAAAAAACCAAACAAACCCAGAACCCTGAACTGAACAAGGAAAATGTTCCAGTATCCCACGTGCCAACCTGAGAGGGAAGTGGGAATGCTGCCAGGGGAGTTTAACAACTTGTGCCTTGTGTCCTGGGAGCAGGGAAAGCTTTGGAGAACTCCAAGTGTCTTCTTTCCCCGTGTGAGGTGTTCTGGGCAAGGTCAAAGGAATGGACAACTGCCAAGGATTCCTGCTGGGATCCCTGTTCCTGCCTCCAGCAGGGATCCAGGGGCTCTGCTCCTGCCCAGGGAGCAGGAGGAGAAGCTGGGAGCACCCCTGGAGGCTGGGCAGGAAGGGTTTAGTAGGGATGGATGCACAGGCTGGGGAACAGGAGGTTGTGCTGGATGGAAGCTGTGTTTTCCAAGTGATTCCTGGGGCTCCATGCCTTGGGAATTGTGGGATAATGGCATTAAAGCCAGGCAAAATTTGCTTCCTCAAGTTCTCCAGTGCAGGAGTTGAGCATGATCCGTGTGGGTCTCTCCCACTTGGGGATATTCCATGATTCTTGGGAGAAACTTGGATTTCTGGCCAAGGTGTGATGGTGATGGGAGCAGTGGAAACTCTTCCCGCACAGGGATGGTTGGGAGCAGCTCCACTGATGCAGCTTCTGGCTGTGGCCTCCACCAGGAGGTTCTGGGCTCATTCCTGATCTCCTGAGCACCTTCTGTGCTCCTGGCAGAGCTGGGGTCTCTGGCCAGGTCTGCTGGGAATGATGAATTCATCCGTGCTCCGGACCTTGGGTTGGGAGCTGGAGCTGTTGCTGCCTCTGAGGGAACTGGGAGCTGCAGTCCTTTCAAATTTAGCCTCCTAATTGCCATGTGGATTCATTTTCCATCCCTGCCAGCAAATCACTTCAGCACAGGCTTTGCTGCTGGGGTTTTCAGGATTTTGGTTCTCCTCCCAGTCAGTTGCTGACTTGGATTGAGGATCTGTGGAGGGAATCACTCCCATCTTCCCAGCTCCAGCCCTTCCAGGGGGACAAGTGGCTTTCCAGCCATCCATTTGTGTCCTTGAAAGGGAAGGAGTGAAGGTGGTGAAACCTTCCAGCCCAGCCCTTTCAGAGCAGGGTGGTGGGTTTGGAAGGCTCAGATCCCTGTTTTTCCTTTGTTCCAACCCAAATCCCCCCCTGCCAGCCCCCTGGGATCCATCCAAGGTGGCAGTTAAATTGAACCGGGGTCATTTGAGATCAAAGTGGCTGCTGCGAGCAGCAGGAACAATGAGGGGAAGGGAGGTTTTGTTCCCCTCCAAAAGGAGGACTGAAAATGTGCATTTACCTTCCACCCTTGGGAAACTGGAATTCCAGTGGTTTATAGCGAGCTGCAGGAGGAAATTCCAGCTGCTGTGCTCTTGGTCTCTTTAATTTTATTAAGCCTTTATCAATGTTTTTATTCTTCTCCTTTTCTTTTAGATTACAGTACCTATAGCCAAGCTGCAGCTCAGCAGGGGTAAGTAGCTTATCCTCCCTGTTTTAAAAAGATGTCATAAAAGTAAATCATAATTATGGTTTGGGCTTAACTCAGGTATGTTTGGAAGATCCTGAGGGTTTTCCTGGAGCTTTGTATTCTCGTAGAATTTCAGCA